TCAATTGAATTTATAATTTTATCCTTTTGACTGTTATTTCTTATCTTTATGAAGGTCTACCAACAAATGCGGAAAATGTATGCCGAGGTGGAAGCTCTGACCAGTCGTGGTTGCATCGCCCCTACTGCAATCCCTGTCTCCACGACCTCTGCGATTGCAACCTCTTCTTCCTCGGGTTTGGAGACAGAAGAGAATGGTTCTATCTATTGTGTCAACCATTCTACCGAAAATCATGCTGACTTTGAATCGGAATTAGACATGGATGCTAACGTACATCATATAAATACCCCCACTTCTCTTGCCGGCCACCACACCCCTGATGAGTTGGCCATGGTTGAAATGCACTTCCGACTTAGCTCTCTACGCCAAGTTCTCTCTGACCTCCGCGGATTGCTACACGATTTGGTGGAGTTTCCTGCTAGCCCTGACTCTACTCCTTCGACACAACCATGTGATAGACATGAAGACAAGCCCCGATCTTCTGAAAAACTAGTGAGACGAATCCTTGAGCTTTACAAGTATTTTTGTTGTCCACGATTTTTTAATGATTGTTCTTGTTTTTGCTCTATCATTCTACCTTTACCCATTCACTAATCAGGATCCAACCTAGGACTTGTTTGTAAGTAGTAATATGATCGAGTCTTCTCATTCATAGAGAGGTCGGAGATAATTTATTTGAAGGTATGGAGACCAATATGGTGTGGCCTTTTATATGCTTAGTCTCCTTTCATTGTATAGAAGTTGTTTGACCTTGTCTTTGCAATTTGGGCATATTGGTTGGAAGACCTAGAGAAACTAACCCTGTCCGGAGTCCATAGTAAGCATGATAATTTCCAGTCGTACCGTGGACTTGGTACATTTTCAGACGTTTCGCCGGCATCGTTATTGAGCATTGCCAGTATTAGCACCACACTAAATCGTCAAAGAAACAATTGAAGCCGATCCTTTGATCAATTGTCTGCTAAACAATTGTGGTATCTCTCCTTCCGCCCTGGTGTAATCCTTTATCCTCATATCTTCCTTTCATTATCACAATTTTACTTCTTATTTAAATGTGATATGGTTCGCCCCTTTAAGCGGATTTCATTAAAACTCTACATTCGACGCTGGCTTCCTCACCTCACCTCCCCTTT